TGCGCGGAAGTGTTTGACTGCTACCGTCGCGGACCGGCGTGCCGGACCGTCAGTATATACCATCGGCGCCGTCCGCTCGATCGATCGGACGGTCCAAATTTGATTTTGCGATTATCGCGAAAATTCACGTGCGGTAGAATTGACCGAAAGTTTCCCCGCCGACAAAGGGTTAAGTACCTCGATCGCAGAGAAGGTGGCCGGGGTTCAAATCCCCGGGCGAAGTTGGCGTGCTCGTTTGCACCCACCTGCTCTACCGGGGGCCAAAATGGCCTAGGTAAAAAATGCGAAACCGCGAAGCGGTGTTAATGCTCGGTTTTCGCCTCCTTGAAGTGCCTGTTTGGGGAAGAGTCGATTAGAAGAAGCTCATTCACATGCGAGAGAAGTTTATTGTGCAACATATGTTGCAGTCAACCCTGAGCTACCTATACAACCAGTTACCTATTTAAGTACGCAAACACAAGAGTCGACGATCCTCGTCTGCAGGCAGAACGCAATGTGTCGATCGGACGGCGTGAGCCCACTGGCACAAGTTCTTCAAAACTCAATCGCGGGCATTTCGATAGAAGTTTGGCAACTTTCGCGTGAACTAAGAAAAGCGCCCGGGAGACAGCTAGGGTTCTAGGGTGGTTAGGGGGGGATTTCGGGTGCGGAGCGCAAGCATTTTCTGGTTTAGGGGTTCTAGTTGGAATGCCCGGGTGAGTCGAAACTCTACTGTTTCGACTCGTGAACTAATAGTAACAGTTCACGCGACTGATCGTTGCCAGTCTAATTCGAAAATTCCAAGTTCGTATGTGGTCAACCGGGGACTTCTTATAAAATGCTGAGTCGACAGATTTCTACCCGGGGCTAAAATACGCACATAGCGCCTCATACGCAGAAGATTCACTGATCGCTTATTGAAGAAACTCAGATACGAGGTCGTATGGAGCTCTCTACCGGGTTGTCTTAGGTGACTGTCAAAGTCGACGCATTTGCGTCGTCGGGGCTTCAATACGCAGGCGCTAGAAGCTGATTCTCACGCGTGTAAAAAAGTAATCTGAAGGCGTAAGGCAGATGATCGAACGGCGGCAGCTGCCCGAATCCGACGCGGCCGGGCGTCGGGACAGGACCGCCGCGTGCCTAGCTCCTGCCCGCGGCTGGAAGGGGCCACGTGAGAGGTTTAACCCAACAGATAAAGCAGCAAGAGTTCGATAGACCACCTAGGCCGTCGAAAACTAAAGTCGAGCGGTATCATACCTGAACGCACTCAAAAAAGGCGTTCGATACTAAAAATATGCTTAACTGAGTGATCCAGTCTGGAGCGACACTTTATCCCAAAACCAAGTTCAGGGGTCATAACGAAAGCTCGTTTTTTACAAAAAACCGAGCTAAAAAAACAAAAAGTACCTACCGGTACCTACCTCAAAGTTCAAGTTCGAGTAGGTAGACCTCTACTGTTACGCGTCGAAGATCCAAGTCGTGTGGCCCGGGGAGTCGGGGGCGCCCTGTTTCGACTGGATGGATCGAGGGAGTGCATAATTGCTCAAGTGAGTCTTCAACTCTTTGACAGGGCTTCAGTCACCAGTGCATAATTGCTCAAGTGGAGTCTCTGCATGACAGTCTTTGAAGGCTTGTGCCCTGGACTCGAGCTCAGGTCTTCAGATTGTGTCTCGTCTTCTGCTAGGTTGGTCCAACTCCACTTTCCAGCTTGACAGGGCAGGAACCGGCCTGATTGGCATTATCGAGCTGGGCAGCTGCATTGAACAATGGCGTTCCTTCTGTTACCCACGGAGATAAAGTCCGGGGCCAGGAACGTCCGCACTCTGAGGCGGTGCGCTTGGTTCATGTACGTCGTCCTGGTGTGCGCTTTCATCGGCTACGCAGCCACTGTGTTCTGGCTGGTAAGGACCCACCACATTCCCCAAGTGTTGCTTCTTTTGCTGGAAGTTCTTGGTGCCTTCACTGAGGATTCCCCTCCAAAACAGGACCCAGGCTTTTTGTCTCTAGGGGCTCTGCTCGGAGAAATACGCCGCTGATTCTGGTTATTTTCCCTTCAACTACCTTGGTAGCTGGGAGCAACATTTTTCGTATCATATATCGTCATCAGCCGGCCCCACACAGTTGCAAGGAGGGTGCCACCTGTGACTTATCTGCTGAGTGCATGGCATGATTGCGGCTTAGTAGCGTCATGCTAAGTGCTGGCACCTAAACCCACCTTGTTTTCGTTCTTGTCATTGTTACCCATGGTGGTTGTTGAATGTTCTATCTGTTCCTGAAAGGAGACGGAGCTTTCAAGCCTCAATTCTGGGTGAACCGCACAAGAACAATGCCAAGCCTGCACTTTTGTGGGATAAACTGCAGGAGTGCTGTCGTGCGGACATAATGCGCCAGTCAAGTTGTAGGTAGAATGGCACAAGTCGAGCTAGCTTTTTGAGTTAGAGCTAGACTCAGAGCAGAGTTCTGACTCTTCTTTATAAGACAGCCGAAAAGCTCTTGTTCGAAAAAGACTTGCTAAAATCAAACTTGCAAACTCCATAGAGGTGAGCACCCACAGAAATGATGATGGTCAGCTCATTGGCAGTTGTCTCGGACGCGCAAAACACCCCCAAGGCATGACTCCATGCACTAACTAGGCGTGATGCGCATGGTCGGTCATGGTCAACCCTCGCCTTTGGCGAGGCTTACGTACGCTAGGACTGCATTTGCTGATTTGCCCAATTCCAAGCTCCAGCATGAGTCGCTGCTGCATTAAACAGCGTGCTTTTGTGGGGGATAATGAAGCTTCTAAGCTCATGGGCGAGAGCTTTCACCGCGATTGTGATCCCCGTGCACTGATTTTCTTTCGCAGGCGTACAGGAGCCGGAATGTGCCGGCCGTCTCCTTCGACTACAAGGTGGAACTCACGCAGCTGCCAAACATTTACATATGCCCGTATGCATTCTTCAGCTCCTATGCAACCACGCTGCCGATCACAAGCATGACAGGCTCGTGCAACAGATATTTTCCCAAGCAAGTGCCAGGGCCGGGGGCCACCGGTTTGACAACCGGTTTGACCCGCGGGTCAGTCAATTGGGCGCTGGGCAATTCCAGGCGCGATGCGTCGAAGACCTTCGAGTACAAGGGCGATACAGATAGCGACTACGAGGTGGAAGGCGTTGAGCTGCCCTCGCCCGATTTTTCACATGAGGGCCAAAACAACACAGTGCTAGGGAGCAGCCTATGCCTGCGCTACAACACTAGTAGGTTCAGTTTCACACCGGAGTTGATTGCGAGCACCTTCCAAGGCGTCTTCATGAGCTTTTACTGGACTCTACCGCCCGTGGCCCCGCTTAATGGTTACACAAGGGGCGCGAATGTGTTAGCGGCATTTTCGGACGATGGAGTGCGCAGAGGGGAGTATGATTTCCCTGGTTCGATCATCAGCGGAGGTGGCAACGATCAGGTAGAGTTGTCCCTGACTGTGCGGACGTACCTGAACGGATCCGAGGTGAGCAAATGTTAGACGAATGGAGAGGCCTTGCCTTTTAAAAGAATGTGTCCCGTCAATACGGTAGACACACATCGTACGCTGCTTGTGTGTTTGGGCAATCTGAGCAACACGGATTGTTTTCTTGCGGGAACGCGTTGGTGCACTCCTGGTGGCACTTGCATCCTTGTAGAGTTGCTCAGGACAGAGCAGAGCGGATGGATGATGTGTAGTGTGATCCCATCAGGCGGACCGCAGAACTTTGCGATGGTCGATATCGCAGCGCCACCGTCCGATTTCAACATAAGGACTCCAGTCTGTAAAGTTTAGCCAGGGGGTCGCAAAATTTAGCAGGACCTGTTCCGATACTGGGTTTCAGACAAACCTTGCCTAACTCTATACAAACGAAAGATCGGGGAAAGATCTAGAGCGTTCATTTTTTGACGTCAAAATCTGAACGGCAGCGCTGCGATTCTTGGTCGTCCCCCGGCCATTTCGTGGTTCTGCGGCCCGCCTACCATGGGGATGCTAGATCTTACAGCAGTCCCATGTCCTGAAATTAAACAAGCTGGGAGCTAGCAAGAACCAGCTTAGTTATGGGCAAAGGAACCCTCTTGAGAAAGATTCGTTGCGCTGACAAATTTGGAAAGTCAAAAGAAAGAAAAGGTTCGGGCAAGTTTGTCAAAAGATCGACAAACTAGGTTTGTTTGCTTACGATGTTTGTGCACCTGATACATCATCAATGTTCGCCCTGGTCAGAACCGCCCTGCCATAGTAGCATAACGATTTGGCTGTTGCAAACCGTGTAACAAGTCCCCCCAAATTTGCAACTGAAAGGAAAACCTCCGTGTTGGGCCAACTACTTTGGCGCGGCAGAATTTGCGTTTCGTCATTGACAAATTGGGTCCTTCCTCGTTTCTGCAGAAGGTGTCTGGAAGTATCGCGACTACCCACCAGGATTACGTAACTTCTTTCAACAGCACCTATGGAATCGACTTTCCGGCATCTGACTACTTTTATGCGGCGCTAACTCTTAACCCGCAAGGACGGTTGCACATAACGGAGAAGAGCCCCATCAATTGGACCATCATTCTCTCACAAATTGTAGCGGGCTGGTCGCTTGTCACGGCCATTTTTGGCATGTTCTTCGCTTACGACCTACGTCGTGAATGGGCTCTCCCGTGGCCGGCGCATTTTAAGGAGATTGTCACAAGCGACGAGGAACTGAAGGGCGGTTCATTAGAGACGATTCCGATGAGGCGCATGAGTCATGTGCCAAACTTATATCCAACCACTTCGAGCCACGTGTAGAACCAATCATGCTCCACCCGCATCCAATAATTTGATAAGTATCAAGCAGCAAAGTACTGCACATCAATTTCCGTATAGGGACTGTCAAAAGAAGTGACCCTCGACAATACTTCCAACTAGTACTGAGTAGTTTAGATTACAAGATTACGTCAAAGGTTCTTCCAACTAATTTTCGCAAAGCTTTTTCTCTCTAGAATCCTTTATAAGGCTCGAATTGAAGTTTCTAATACCCGATAACTTGCAGAGAGAGAAGGTAGCCGAAGTGCTGATTTCCTTAAAGCAGCGTACTTAAGAAGACATGCCGGATGTCTTCAATCGATTAAGTCAATCATGAAGATCACGAAAGCTTGATTCGTCAAACAACCTCAAGATTAATTTGGGCTCCGAACGTACGAGAATCTGATAGACGATAGGATCTATTAATTAGAATCTTAGAAAGTCTAGAACGAGGACTCGTGGAGATCCAGAAACCTCTAAGCATTGGTAGAAGGACTTGACTCGTGGACCTGTGCAGCGCTGGCTCGAATATACTAGACTTCGTATGTGCTGACGTTGGCTGGCCAGCCGTGCAGTGACTGCCACTGCAATATACGGAGAAGTATAGTATTGCCATGCTTTGAAAGCAATTCGATTTCGTACGGCCATCGTTGGCACGTCTGAATGCATATGTAAACACGGTATTAGTATGCATGCTACATCTATGTTCTACTATTCTACCACAAAGCCGCCATACTCGGGCTCCACTGAACGGCGCGGGGACATGATGCATCGCACATGGAACGGCAGACAGTGCGGTAGCGCCGCTGGGAAAGTCGTGAGCTCTAACCATAAGGCGAGCTGCATGCATGACACCTTCGATGCATGCTAGCTGTGTTTAACGGGCCCGAGATGCAGCCGGGCCTGGTAGATACGATACTTTACGTACGACGGTCCACACATGCCGGAATTCCCGACCTTGCAGTGCTCCACTGCACCATGCACGTGCATGGATCGGCCGACCGACAAGCTGTGCAAGAAAAGTGGGCCTCGTGATGCACTTTCTGCATTTCAATCTGGACCTACAGCGGCAGGCGAGCGTGTTCAGAAGGAGAACGACAGATACCATACCAAAAGATATATACGAGCAAAAAGCACTGCCCATCATCGGCGATCGATCACGTACTTGCCTTTGAATGACTGAATGGAAAGGCCGGATCATTGTCAAGTGATCAAGCTCTTCATATACCGTGATTATATGTAGACGGCAAGCACTAATTTTATAAAAGTCAGACATAAATTGGGTATCTGATACGACAACCATGCATGAATTCTGTTCGTAATCTCGATCAAGTACAGCTAATTCGCGTCATCCAGTCAGAGCTTAAGTCTTTGCTCAAACGCCCTTCCACAACCGTACTTCATCCGACAACCGAACACTCGTTGGCATTCATGTTGCTCAGAAACAAGAGTCGGTGGGAGAAGCTGCATTTCACTAAGCCACATGACGATCACCCGTCGTGCAAACACCCGACAGGAGATCCGTGACTTGAATGAATAAATTTTCTCTTTCATACAAGACCCAGTCATTCACCAAGAATTCCGAAGGAGCTCTGTTACAATGTATCAATCCCGCAAACGAAAACGGCGGATCGACAGAATGGCGATCCGTCAAGAACACTTGCAAACAGTTGACCAGAATGCAACGCGAGTCGACTAGCCGGAAGTGGTCACCCAATTTGGCAGCCAGCAAATCATAGAAGCAGCGCGTCATGTCGGAGGAGTTTGACCCAACACCATATACGGACGGTAGGAGCTAGGAAGAAGGATAAGGAGTAGAATGTACAATCAACAACGCTCGCCCAATGATCAAGAGCGATGCGCACAGTGTTCAGCGACCGACAGACGCTTCAGTCGACTATCCGAAAATGGTCTCCCAACTTGGCAGCCAACAGCTCATAAAAGTAGCGCGTCATGTCGAACGAATGCGACCCGACGCGCGGCCGCGCCAGGTCAAAGTAATGGTACTGCAGAGCGAGGGGGTCCAGAACGTCTTCGTCTCGATAAGGGGTGAAGCCGTAGACGTCGATGCTGTTGCAGACCTGCAGAAGGAAAAGCATACGACAGGTGGAAACGTGCAAACGGTCGGTGATTTGGTGATGCTATACGCGAGGTTCCATCTCGATTTTTGAAGAGCGGCCGACGTCGCAACGGTTAGCGAAAGCAAGGCCTATCAAGCTTATGATGCCTTGCCTTTCCGCGTGGTAAGTTTTCCGTCGAGGGATCCGCTCCTTGCGTGCGCTGACGTTTTGCTGACAAACGACCTTCGCTTACTCTTTGCAACAATTTTCTTGTATCCAGATGTGGATTGGTATCAACTTGATAATAGAGTGACGTTGAACGAACACGTGCTTTCCTTGCCCCGACCGGCGATCTTTCCCCACAGGCCCGTGAGTACTAGTGGAGCTCCAGGGAAGCCAGGGGTTGAAAAGAAACCGCTTCGCTGCGGGAACTTTTTTCAAACATATTTTCCCCTTTTTTTCCCTTTGCAGGACCTTCACTCACCTGCAAGCAGTACAGGATCGCGTAGAACCCCGACATCGGCTTCTCCCCGCCGAACACCCCAAACCCCGCGCCCTCGAAGCGCGCGCGCAGCGCCTTGTACACGTTGTGCGCCCACGTGGCGTACTGAGGCGACAGCGAGATAATCGCGCGGCGCGGGTAGAGCGCGCGCATCTTCGCGTAGTTCGCGCGCCACCACTTCTGCTTGAAGTCGATTTGGAACGCGTCGCGGAACGGAAATTGCGCGGGGTCGAACATTTCGTACAGCACGATCGTGGAATTGGGCTCGCGCCAAATCCACCCGGGGGGGCCGTTCTCTTCCCCCGGGGAAGGAAGACCGCGCCACCAACCTGGAAAAAGGTTATCGTTGTTCAGCTTTGGTTAGCCGCGTTGTTAGAAAGGGTTAAAACCGCGTCACCAGGTTTGACTCTGAGGGCCCGGTTTTCTTTCCCTAAGGAAGGAAGGCCGCTCCACCAATGCGGAGAGTATGCCGTTCCCGATTCAAAACTGCCTTTACAACGGTGGTAAAGGACGAGTTACCAGGTTCGACCTTGGAACCGCATCCCGCTGCATAAACGGGACTTCAATTGGGCGACGCGCGACCAAGGGAACTCAGTCGAGAAAGTGATAGAGCTTGGTAGAGCTGATTGTGTAAAATCTGCCACTCTTGAAACCCGGTCGTGAATGATATTTCGCATGTTGGATCGATCAGCGGGTTCAAATCAGGCACCAAAGGTCGAGACTCGAGGAGGAGGGTCACAGGTTCGACGCCATCAAGAGCAAAGCGTACCGATTATGTGCTTTTGCTTTCGTGTTTGAGGCGCCAAACCTCCCATCCAAACAAAGCTGTGTAAAATAGCGGCAGAAACAAGATTCTGAATTCAAACGCCTTCGCACATTTCCCAAACCCCTAAGCCCTCACCTATGTGCGCGAACTGCGCGACGGCCGCGTCGTCGCCCTCGAGCAGCTGCTTAACCCACGCGCTGTTCAGCATCTCGAAGTCCGTTTTACTGCCCACGTACGGCGTAAACCCCTGCACGGGCGCCTGGTTAAACCTCCAAACCATGTCGTGCGCGTCGATCGCGCGGCCGCGCCGCGTGACGAGCATAGACCCCGAGTTGCCGACGATGGCGCACGAGCCGAAGCGCGGGCGGTGGTCTGTCGCGGGGAGCAACGAGAATAAACGGCGGCCGACCTGAGAGAAAAGGTTCGGATTGAATCTGATGAAGTAGTTCACGACTGGGACGAGCGAAGGGGAATTGAGTGGAGGGTAACGAGATTGGTTAGCAGCAAACTAGTGGGAGCGGTCGGTGGAGCTTCCTCAGAAGCGGGCAAAATGGAAGTGCTTTCACTTTGCGTCGGTGTTGGGGGAGCGATGCAGTTAATATGGACTGTGGTTAGCGTTGACCCTGGCGGATACTCGGTGGATAAAGTGGGTGTGGTTTGAGCAGTGAAAAGCGTTGAACCAGTTGGAGATTGCGTGGGGTTAGAGACACTGCTTAGTGGAGTTTGGAAAGACCCAATCGGCGTAGTCGTAGGGATTGCTGGGGGCCGGGTAGAACCAACTAGAGAGCCGGTAAACGGGTTAGGGGCAATCGGGTATGGATGATTGGGAATCGAGAGAACTGGTTTGTAAGATATGGTCTCAGAACTGGTTTGTACGAAATGGAAATAACACTGAAACATGGGCTCAAAACACAGTTGCTTGCGTGTTTTCGTGATGAAGCCCCGGCGTTGCAAACGGCACAGCCCTTTGATTCGGTAACTTCATCTGGAATGAAAACTCCTGTTGCTGCCAGGTTAGAGTGGGTGTGTATAAGCCTAAATGATTGATTTCTTAGGACGAAATGTCCATCGGAACGTCCTGATTCTTCGCCTGCAGGCGACAATGTTCTGCGCGCCATGCACCGAGGCGGAACGACACTGAGATCACCTGACGGAAATACGACGCAACAACGAATGAAGTAGGTAAAAAGTAGCTACGAGAGAGCGCTGCGGGGTTTTCAAACACTGGCGTCTTTCTGCATCTCCGTTGGTTGTCCTCGGTGCGATCCACCCACAAGCATCGTCTCGGCGCCTTTTCCGACCACACTTTCCTCACTTCCAGGCCGCCATACTCACTGTACGCACCTGGTATTGGTCGCCGTCAAAGGTGTGGTTTCCGGCCGTCCCCTCGGGCACTTTGATCACCAGCTTCCCGTCTCTAGTTTCCTCTACCTCCTCCCGATTCATCCTCATCGGGCCCTTGTACCGCAAATCCAAGCCGTCCAGTATGTTTCTCCCCTTCGATAGCAACACGCTTTCCGCGCAATCCGTTCCGCTGTACATCGAGTCGCACACGCACTTTCCGTCGCGGAACGTTCCGTGGGACCCGCAGGACGGAAGGCACGCCTTTTGGCGACACTCCGCCAGTGCGGCGCTCGTGTTTTGTCGCCGAGACTGCTCATCGGTTCTGTTCATGTTGCTCCTCAATTCCGTTTCCTTTTCCCTTTCCGTTTCCGTTTGTGGGGACAACCCGACGCGCGCCCCTTCGACGTAGCCCGCCTTCCGGCCCTCCGTTTTGCCGAAGGCGGTTATGTTAAGGTAACCCGCCCTTTCTAGAGCTAAGAGTATGGTTTCCTCCCATTCCGTCCGTCGTCGTTCCGGTTCCGTTGGCTCCCGCTCGTCGAAGTATCGCCAGTGGCAAGTCTTCTTGGTGGCGATACACGGGCCGTAAACACCATACAAAGTAACCTGAGGATTGAAAAGCCAAGCGCCAAGGGATTCTGCATTTAAGTTGCTACAAACTAGTACCCGCGCGCTTCTACCTCCTACGCTTTAGACGTCCAAGGTCTGGTCTCTGAACGTAATACGCGTATCTGATGACGTAAACAACAACTTTTGGAGGAATCCGCAATGCCAGGACGGCGGCGTGCTCTTGTTCCGTTTCTCTAGCGGCGGAACGGAACCGTCAGCGGAGCAAGCACCTTCGGGGTCTGTAGTAACATCAAGCAGGCTCCATCTAACATTGCACATCCTTCGTTTAGAGGATTCTCTCTTTGAGCCCCTGACTGCGAGCAAGAATTGTTATGGCGGCAGCTTGCGATCCCGACACCTGACGAGCAGCGCAGCTGCTCGAAATCTTACGAGATCTTTGACTAACGATGCTTTGCTTCAAGACCTTTGAGCTCTGGAACGACGATTTTTTCCAGATTCCTCTCACCTAAGACGGCCCAAGACCTAGATTGTTTCACGCCAAAGATTGGCATGATTCAGCCGTTAGCATCTCTCACCTGGTCGCACGCGCGCGTCGCGAGCGCGACCGTCTTGAACAGCGAGGTCGGCGCCGCGTTGGCGCTCCACTCGAGTGCGCGCGCGGCCGCGTCCTGCGCGCGCTCATCCTCGGGGGGCGCGCCCGGGAGGAGAATCGACTCCAGAACGCGGCGCAGGCGGAGGGTCGTGGCTTGGACGGTGGACACAAACTCGGGCGACAAGAACTTGACACTGCGGGGGAGATGGTAGCGGGCACTCAGCAGAACGGTCCTTGTGGTGTCAAGTCAGGCCACTCAACTGGTTGCCGGTTCTGATGGAAGAAAGCCCGTGTCGTCCGGGCGATCTATAACAGCATCGCGTTGACTCAGATTCCGGAAGGCTGTTGTGAAGTGTGCAGGCTTGTCCCATGAAAAAACAGCTCGTCTCAATCGGAACTCGTGCTTTTTAAGAGTCTCTATAGGGCGTAGTCAAGAGAACGGGACTGGATCAGGTTGTCAGTAAGAGATGGTGCTGACGTGTGGGCTTGCCCGGCGTTGGGAGGAGCGTCCTCAGCCGTGCGAATACGCCATAAACGGACGGCGATCAGAGCACGATGGGTGCTTCTCGGACTCTTTCAACTTTCTTCGACAGGAGACTCTCATGCTGGATCAATGTCAGGCTACTCAAAGGTATTGCCGGGGCACCATGGGCTTGCCTGGCCCTAGGGAAAGCCTCCTAAGCCGTACGCAGGCATATTTTGCGGACCTCAAGGCACTCTGAACGCTTCTTGGACGCGCTCAAAGATTTCCAGCTCCTTATTTAAGTCGAGTCTACAAAATGGCCAGTAGATGATGTCCAAAAACGACTAGGATTGCCTGGCGCTGGAGAAGAGCGTCCGCAGCCGGACGAAGACGTCCTTTCCGAGCGGTGTCAAGATCACAGCGAACGTTGTTTCGGGCCCCTTCTTCCAATTCAGTTTACCATTACTACCCAAGAGTCACTCGCCTGACGCTGAGAAAAAACGCGCACGACTGCCTCGAAAGTCACTTGCCTGGCGCTCGGGAAGAGCGTCTGCAGCCGTACGAAAACGTCCTGTGCGGACGGCGCCCAAAGCACGAAGGACGCTTTGTCGGCCCAGCTTTTCCGGTTTCAAATAATCGTCGCACGTAGTCCAAATTTGGTGCTAAGCCTAAGAACTTGCCTGACGCTGGGAGAGAGCGTCCGCAGGCGTACGAAGACGTCCTGTGCGGACGGCGCCCAGAGCATTGCAGGACGCTGTTCCGGATTGCTTTCTCAATTTCATTCACTTCTCGTCAGCCGTAAGTCGAACGGAATACCGGAATGGTGCAGAGTCGAAAGACTTGCCTGGCGGTTGGGAAGAGCGTCCGCAGCCGTACGAAGACGTCCTGTGCGGACGGCGCCCAGAGGACGACGGACGCTGTGTCGGACCACCAGCGCGCGACCTCGCGGATGTGGTCGGGCCGGTCACTGCTCGCGCCGATGAGCACGCGCGCCCACCGGTGGTCCAAAACCTGCCGAGGGTTTGAGGGTGCTTTTTAGGGTGGGTTTAGGGTTGGTTTTAGGGTGGATTTAGGGTGGGTTTAGGGCTCCGTTGAATTAGCCAAGACCTGGAAACGGGCTCCGCATGAGCGTTTGCTCTTTTCAATTTACTATCCCGCTCGCCGGAGGTGTGGGGATTTCGCTAGATTGACCAGGACTGGATTTTCAGGCCCCCATCAGCGTATACGCTTTCTTAAGACGAGTACCTCGCCACCAGAAGCTTCATCGAGGAGCTGCTTGCGAGCTTTTGACCTAGAAGTACGACGTGCCTTTGTCAGCGGGCGAATCCTGGCAACCTTTCGAATTTTTGGAACGAGCTTGACATGCAGATAACGTCCTAAGACTGAGTCGACTGACTGCAAAATGAGTGACATTTCCTACTGCGCATCGAGGGAAAGGCTAGAACCATCCCACTCTTGCGCGCTAATTTTATTGCTTAAAATTTTGGTGTTTTGTCGGATTAATGACTATGATTCGCAAATCTTAACATGCCCCCGAGGAACTGAGGGTGCAGGAGCAACATCAAACGGGGCTTGCGACTTCAAAGGTCTGAGTCAGAAGCTTTGTTTTTCTAGTTTGCTGTCACCAAATTCAAATGTCGTCGCGGTTAGGTACATCCCAAATGTCGAAAGGGGCGGTAAGGATCCATGATTCCGCCTACCTGGTACGTGGTTCTCTCGCCGACGTCCGGTCCATACCGCGGAATGGTGGGCGCGTTGTCAAAGCGGAAGACGGCTTCGTGGCCGTCGATCAACGGCCCCAGCCGGCTACCAATCAACGCTCCAGAATGACCCATGACGGCGCAGGACGCATAGCGTGCTTGACTATCGACTGCAAAAAAGGAAGACGTTGCGAACAGGAGAAAGGAGGCGGCAACGTCGGAGTTCACATCCGAGTAGCTGCGCTTTAGTACAGCTGTATGCTGATTTGCGAGTCTCCTAAGTTGGCTGTTGGCTAAAAATCATCGCCAGAGAACAGTCACGATATTACCTGCTGACGCGTTCGCCATCCACATTTCAACGCTCTCGTATGAGGGGACGGTTAGTGATATTGGAAAAGTTTGATGGGCACCGACGCAAGTCAGCCGTGAGAAGCGCGTCTTCGCAGAGACAGTTTTCCGTACAGAGGCGAGCTCACGGAACTGAACGCAGAACGCTCGCTATAGCTTTAATTTTCCTGGAAACGTATCTGGTGATGCCCAAGGATTCAAGGAGATACAAACCCGAGTTTGAGGGAGCGGAGCGGAAAGATAAAGCAAAGCTGATCGAGCCGGCTTGGCAGTCTCTCCTTTGCAGCTTTTGCGTTCAGGTTCTGCATCGATCTCGCAAACACCCTATCAGGAAGCAGATTCGATGCTAGGCTGACTTTCAACTGCTCCGAACGCAGGCCAGGTGATCAAACGTCAGATCCGGGACAATCGACTTTGGCCTATCTCAGCACGGCTGTGAACAGGCAACGTATTACACGATGTACAGTGAGGTAAAAGCACTCACCGGACGGTAGGAGCTTGAGCATGGCCGGGGCAACCATAAAGGTGTCAATAAGGCCTGAGCTCTTGTTCCGGAACTCATAAGGGATGCGTTGCGGCTGCTCGAGGAATACCCGCGTGCTTTCCTCCTCACTTCCATCGGGCAACTGATTCTCCTTTGCGCTGAGCAGCTTGGAAGCCTTGCTCAATTCTTCTTTGAGCAGGCCTCTGTGCAGTAATATTGGTGAATCGGTCCAGCCCATATCGAGATGCTTGGTCGCAGCTATAACGGCATCCTCCTCATACGAGAACGTAACTTGCGTGCCTGAAACCGTTTCTCCGACGCGCGATGTCGGAAGACCGCGGCCCGACCCCTCGACGTTTTTGGAAGGATCGACGTTTTGGCACAAACAGAGGTGCACTTTTACTGGCAGATTGACCCCCCTGCCAGACGGAACCAGGCAGTGCAGGGCTTCGGAGCTTAGCCAGCGGGTCTCCTGCCAGATGGACAGACGTTCGTGTGAGTACTATGCATTCTGCCTTTTAGATTGTCCCTGAAACATGGTGGCAATCAAAGCCAAGTGGAGCTCTCTTGAGGGAAGCGATGACTCTGTGTCCCTGCGACTATTCGTTCACAACCTTGCGTTGTGAAACTGGCGTGAGTAGAGGGTCCCTTCTTGGCTACCACAATTTTCAGAGGTTCATCCGCATTCCTGAGGATCTCTCCAATTGCTGTGCGCTGCGCTGCCCTACAAGCACCCCTTCAATGGTCCCAGATAGTGCACCTTACAGTCTCGGTGCTTTAGTTTTCTTCTCATGTCATACGGAACTCTTGTGATCTGGCATGCACAGCGTGCAGCCACAAAGGAGGAAGGAAGCATGAACAAGCACTGTGTCACACATTGGATATGTTTAAAGGAGACATAATCGACATCCTTTGAAAAGGGACTTAAACCATGGGAATATTTGTCGAAATCAGACTTACATTACAAGGAACGTCGCCGATCGTTGCCAGAAGGGATGATCCCATTGGACCAAAGTATCTGCCCCTGATGAGCACTGCATAGCCCCCCGACCGGAGACCATATGCCGGCTCAACGGCAGTCACTCTGAAGTCCTCTTTCTCACTATCCTGAGCTCCAACGTCTTTGTTGGTGTCAATGGCTGCAGGCTGTCCGCTGGGCTGCCCTGATGACACCAGGACCTGGTGGTGCGCCATCTTAGTTTCATGGCTACCATTCTGATGTGCTGAAACCTTTCTATTCTCATGAGAGACGTGTAGATTCTCCACATCATTGCTATTCGAAGTGACTCTGTGCTGAAAGGCCCTGTCCCTCTGTAACTTTCCCCGGGCTAAGCTCGTCAGCCCATGAATCTTATGCACGGCTGCCGTTTCCTCTTGCCGTTTCACACCACCAAAATGAATTTCATCTTTCCTAATGCGTCCCTGTCCAAAAGACTCATTCCCAGCATTGCTTAACTTGGCCTGTTCAACACCATCTCTGGCACCAGCCTTGTGTCCAGCTTGTACGCTGGAACCAGTGTCAAACCCACGCAAAGAAACCCCGCTCCGCAACACCCTCCCCTCATAGTCACCCGACTCCGCCCCAGCGTTAAAACTCTTGTATTCATTCTGCCTCCCGTGCTCAGTGTGCCAGCTGTACAAGGTTGAGCAGGATACAAGAAGCAGCAGAAAGAGGTAGCAGTAGATAGCTAGCTGGAAAGGGGACTTGCGGGATCCTCGGGACCTCGCTTTTGAGGTGGTGGTCGGAAGCCATAATGATCTGGGCAAGTAGAGGACCAGCTTCCAGCTCCGGAAGGGCCGCCTTCTCCCTCTCTTCATGGCAACAAGCGTCAAGGTTTCCTGGGTCAGCTCGTGTTCTTAGCTTCTTGCATTATGAGATTGTTGCCTGCATGTCTTGCTTGGAGCTCTTCTGCTCGTTTCCTTCGCCCTTTATGAGTCAATCACTATGTCCTGACCAGCTTAGGATTGTCTAAGACACTCACTGTTGATCAGGCTTCGTCCATCCTTTGTCAAAGTTGGTGGTATAACTATAACTTATAAGGCAACTAAGGCTCTGGGCAGGATGATCAGCAAGCCAGGCGAATGTTATCCGTCGATCCCCTAGCTCAGACATTTATCGTCGAACGTAAAGATGCAATTATGTCGACGTGCGTGCATTTAGATTTCAGCCTACTTCAGCATTGCGTATCAGCGACAGAATATTTATTAAGGTGCTAGGTGCTAGGTGCACGGTACAAGTACATACCTACCGTATCTAGGTACAAGGTACGGACAAGGTAAGTTTACTAATACCTACCTAGGTAACTGTACCTACAGGCTTTTACATATACAGGAAAATCCTTGCTGCCATAACCCGAAGGTTGACGCTAGGTACTCACCAACGCAGCAAGCTGGTTAAGGCAGGTTAAGGCCTGCACTTGGACTCTTGCTCAATGACGTTGCAAGGATCTTCTGCAATGTATTTTGCTCTGCATGAGAGTGAGCTGGGGAAAGACGGTGCATAGACGGCAGGTATTTGAGGGCATTGCTTTACCAATTAAATGACACTGGAAAGGAAGATGGCATCCCGCCGCCCTTTCCATTCAGGAACTGCAGGGTCTGTGATTTGGGGAGCTCTAGCTCAGCCACACTTTCTCATCAGAGCGAAAAGTTGCTCTAGTTGTCCCGACGATGTATGAGCTGCACTTATCACGAACGGCGCCATGGCTGAGCTGCTAGATACTGGCGGGGATACAGGGCCAAAATCAGCCAAGGAAAGCACAAGCTCTCAGAATGCTGCTTCAGAAAGCGCAGGCTTCCTGCAGATGGCAGATCAGAATGGAGACGAGAGCAGTCACGTGGACGAGCTCTCTGACCATGTGCTCTTTCAGATCCTCAATGAGAGTGCTCTGAACTCTTCGCGCTCGACGCCACCTGAGGGTGACGAAAGAAACGATATACATTACCAGGGCCAAGGAGAGGTCAGTCTGACCGAGAGAGAGGGTAATGCAGAGATAGAAGATATTGTATCTGGACTAAGTACTAACTTAGAGAGTAGTAGAACAGATCCTTCAAATGGGGCGGCAAATGGCATCCACTATCACAGTGAAGGAGGTAATTCAGCAGCAACATCAGCTGCTGAGGTCATCAGTGCCCCGAAGAGGCAAGCCGGAAATGCAGCAGCGGTTGCAGAGTCAGCAAGCCAACCTGTCAGCACAGAGAAGAGGTCCAAAACTGGGACAGATCCTCCATTCTTTGGTTTGGCACAGTCGAATTCTCCCAAAGTGAAAAGCAATCTCAGCTACAAGGAAGCGCAAAGCGAATCAGCAGAGTCAACCTCAAGAGAGGCTAAGCAGAACTCGGAGTCAAACGCTATCATAATTGCAAGGGTGGTGTCTTATCCCACACCTGAGCTCAACACCCCTCCTTTTCCCCAGTCATCTCCAGGTTTAGGACAGCTACCAAAAGTAGAACAAGTGTCAAGTCTGAGGCAGGCCAACCTATCTCAACCACCCGTCAATCTCACAGGGCCCGGGGCCCCTGGTAAGAAGCCTAGCTTGGGTCTCCTTAGTTTAGGACGGCCAACGATAAAGGTTGAAAACAACGGGCCAGACGAGAGGCCACTAACAGAAGGCAGAAAAAAGGCAAGTGTGGTGATCCCGCCTTATGCTGAGGTGAGGTCCCATTCTGCGATGGGGTTCATCGAGGCAACTTCATGCGGACGGCCGGCGGAGGTGCCAAAGAAAGCACCACCCTTGACGTGAGTCGTCCTCCTTTCCTTGCTCAACTGTTCCATCATTTCTTTGTATACGCTTCAAATTGCTCCGATGATGCTCTCAACAACATACTTTCTTTGGGAGTTGTCATAGAACTTGGTGTCACTCATACTTGACTCGCTGGTGGGGTTGAGAACCTACTCTTACCAAGCTGCTCTTGTGGTAAGTTGTTGCATGTACCTTTGGACTTCCTCCAAAGGATGTACCACTTCAAAGTGCCTGACAGCAACTCACTTTTGGTGGTTCGCAAGCAAAGACAGTCAGCGCTTTGTGATAGTGGATTACTGCTCCGGAAGCAGAAGTAGGCTCTAGTGCTCCGTAAGATCTAGCTTCAAGCTATGCCAACACTTTCGATCCAAAGAGCATACTCACACCTGTTGTCTGCATAGTGGGTTCGTGCCATCGAGCAGGCGGCGCCAAAATTAAACTTGCACTCTTCCAGTCGTCTGAAGCATCTTCCTCTTCTTTTGGTGGCTACCTTTCGTCAGGAAGAAAACACAGATTGCAATAAATTCTAGGTTGATCAGACATCTGGTCCCTGTCTCTCCATCTGCAGCCTCCCGTTCGTCATGAACAAAAAGCAGAAGGCCGCCCTCAGCCTTCGCTCCGGCCACTTTGTCCAGAAAGACCTCCCCCTCATACTCACCGTCCTCAAAGAAGACCTGGAAAAGCGGCCGAAATACGACCCTCCCCCCCAAACCAAGAGCCCCAAACACGCCCCCCTCAGCGAAAGCTCCGGAAAACGCCCCCGGGGGGGTCGGAAAGGCTCGCTGAGTGGCCCCCTGAGCCGCTCCGAGCCGCACTTCGCCGCGCGCAACCCGAACGGGGGGGCGCTGCCGCTGATAAAGATCACCCCCGACTTGGAGGCGAAGCTGAAAGAGCGGCGGAGCCAGCAGGAAGCGAAAGTGTACGCCCTGTTGCATGATCAGCAGTTGGAAAGTTCGATTGAGACTGTGCACGCTTTGGGGGGGGAGCTGAACACGTGGCTCGCGATGGGCCAGGCGAGGGAAGCGCATTTGGAGCGCCTGGGAATGCGGTGGCAGGCGCAGAGGGACGGGCTGAGCTCTGAGGCGGAGAAGAAGGAGACGTTCTCGGAGGTGCGAGCTGCCTCGCTCTGGATCTCGGAAGTTGTTCACTTCGCAAAACCGAAGGATGTCTAAGGATTTTGTGTTCAATCTTGATGTGCCGAAGGCGAATCCTGCTCGTTTCACGTGCGTTCAAAGGAGTGTCTGGAAAACGCTGTGAATCGTTTCTGCATCAAACATGGCAAGCGCTATGTTGGGCATAGGGCTTTGAATCTCAGGTAGGAATACCTCCGTGGGTGGGCAATTGAAGATCAGGCAGAAGGATTCCGATTGACCACGGAGCGATATCGTTTACGGTTGATGCCTTGATTATCTCCTCTGCTAAAGACCCTCCTTTTACGAGCCACAAGTACAGAAGGGCGCAAGATAGGTGGTGCTGGTTGACAACGTCGGCGCGTAGATCTTAACAGAGCAAAAGCAGACATAAAGCTCAACGCTTAGAGAACGCTACTCAACAAGGTAACCACAAGCTCTGCTGTTGTTCAGGAGATGGAGTTGCTGAGCGCGCATCTAGAGGAATGCGCTGCACGCAAGGCGGCGGGCGGTGCTGGTAATACCGTCATACTGCACATCTTAAGCTACACTTCAGAAGTTATTTACCTGCACTAAAAGGAAACCCTGAATTCAAAGAAGACGCTCATTAAATCCGGGGCTGCTTCAGGGCATGGAGTCGCTGAGCGCGCAATCAGAGGGGTGCGGGGCCGGCAAGGAGGCGGAGCTAATGAACACGTGGCGGCACTCCACGAAGACACACACTCGCATACTCTGTCTAGACAGGAGTCTGCCTGCTGAGTCAGCACTCTGAGTAAAGGAATTGAATGGCGTGTCTCCTCCTCTTTCCAGGAGATTGAGTTGCTGAGCGCGCAACTAGAGGAGTGCGCGTTGCGCAAGGAGGCGGTGCTGGTGGACAAGGTGGGGCTGCACGTCATGATGCGCCGCCTGCACGACAGCATGCGGACGGACGTCTCCACGCTGGGAAGCATCCGAGCAAGATTCCAGAAGCTCTCGGGATCCTGCCTCGGGCTCATCGAAGACATCAAGCGGGTAAGTATCACAGTATGTAGGTCAGGAGTTGAAGAACCCCTCATCCTTCAAAAAGGGCGAATAAGAGATATGGTCAAGCGCGTTTCGTCAGAATGCGGACGTGCCTGAGCACTTTAGACGGAAGCGGGCCAGATCCTCTAAGGTTATCGGGAGGGTGCCTCAGGCTCATCGGAGGCATCGAGCGTGTAAGTACCAGTCCCGAATCCACATAGACAGGCCATGATTTTGGATGACTTACGTAGATTACTGAAAGAGATGAACAACTGGATAGGCAAAAGCACCATTCAGCCGAGCCATGCCCGCTGGAAGCCATCGGAGAAAAGTTGCGCTTACTTTCGGGATCGTGCCTTGCGCTCATCGAGGTCATAAAGGGGTTTAAACCCCGAACCAGAAGCAAAGTGCTCATCATTTTGAAAATTGCGTGGGTCGGCGGGAGACTTTCACCCGGTTTTTCGCATCCTCTTCGCACGAGAATCAAGGGCGCCGCACCTCGTGAAAACTTGAAAGATGATTTCAGCTGAAAGACGATTCAAACGTACCCACACAGAAACCGCTAGTGCGATTGAAGGGCTTCTGTGGGCCTGGATGCGGACAGGAACATTTAGAAACTGTATGCAATGTCAGTGGTCCTCTTATGCCTGTCTTGTTTGGCAAATCCCCGTTTGTGAGCGGTACTACCCCTTTGGCGCGCTTTTGATTTTGAAACCCAACTGATAAGCTTTCAGGACAAAGCTCAGACCGAACAATATCCGTCATCGAAGCTGCTCCCCGCGTTCTTTCACCGATTCCCCATCGATGTTAAAAGTACGTAAATCATCATCCCATTTCCGCTACTCCGCAGAGCCACGTGCAAAAGGAGCAAGCGGAGGCCGACGCGGCCGCGATACGCGCGCGCATAATCGATGCACGGCTGGACCAGGAGGAAATGCTTGCGGAAGAGCGCGCGCGCATTGAAACACAGGTGCGCCTGACACTTCAGGAATCCGGAGGGTTGTTTTGCACTCGGGTCCCTCCTTACCGAGTGATAGTCAGATCGCAAGTTTTTTCTCTGAAGACAATTGCTCTGATCGAGTTTGCATCGCAGACCTACTCCTGAGAGGTTGCTCGTGCTACTTATCTCACCAAAATACGTGAATCCTGCGGGTTTCTAGTCAACGCAGAGCACAAGCCCTGACTTCCGCTTGCGCAACCTCAGGTCTTTGGACCAAGCTCTATTTCTTTCTTGAAATGGAACGTAATCCCCTTCCCGGTCCTTGCACCTCAACTCTCAAGATCTGGAATCTTTCAAGGCTTCCTCCTTATATTTATAGCGCTGAAACACCTTTCCTTGCGCCCGCCAGAGGAAGCTCCTGGCCGACAAAGTGGCGACCGAGACGCGCCGCCGCACGCGCGCACAGGAGGCGCGCGAGGAGAGCCTGGTCGCCGCGAAGGACGCCGCGATCAAGACCACCCAGGCGGTCTTCGCGAACGAGCTCGCGAAGGGCCAGACCAAGATCCAGCTGATCAAGATGAGCGCCGCGTTCCAGCGCATCGTGGACGCAACGGGGCTCAGGTGCGCCGCGCTTTCGGGTTTTTCAGAACCCTTTCTGTTGACATCTGACAAATCCGGAAAGGATTTGTAACGGTAACTCAGCGCGTCGTGGATGTGACGAGGCTGTGGGGCGCAGGATTTCAAGTACTTGGGCTGCAGTGCGAAAAGCTTCTTTATACAAACATGAGTCTTGCTGGGCCCTCAGGCTGTGGAAAGCCTTGGCTCGTTGGTAAGGCTGCGCGAAGAGCGCACACATGTACTTTATTAGGATGCGGGGTCCCTTCAAACGCTGTGTCAGCCCTAGTGTTGGAGCTGAAGCAACTTCTCAAAAGATTTTTAATCAAGGTTTGAGTGCTAAGAATTCATCCCTTGACAATGGGGACACAATCCTAGATGAACTTCTTTCAGCTTAGACGCGTCTGAACGATTCCTTGCTAGTGTTGCAGAGTCCTGGTCGAGCCGTTATTCCATACGAACCAGTCATAAGATCTGGAATCAGTACTAATCTGGACATAGTTGGACACATAATCTCAAGCTGACGCCTTTGGACAAATGTCAATTGTCTTCTGTGCAAAACCTTGGCCGAGCCGGTGACATTGACTTGGTCGTGCCTCCTGGATTCATACGACTCTTTCGGAAACATCGGACGATGTTAAGAGTGTGCTTTTTGAAGTTATACGACTCGTCCACATCGGACAGCTTATGGTTGTGCAATGAGGATTCATAGGATGTATCCGGGCACTTCGGACAGTTTCGGACGCAATCAGACGCATACCCTCTCTTTCAGGGACGTGACCGAGCTGGTGAACCACTTTAAGGATCCCAAGGAGCGCGTCGAGAAGTGGAAAGCGGAAAAGGAGAGAGCGGAAGAGCGGATCGCCGCGCTCAAGGTAGATTCCTGGCGCGAAAGGACTGGGCTTTTCTCGTATTGAGTGTCTCTGCTTTGGGAACGTTTGGAAGGTGTTCGCAAATTAAGCTCGTCTTCGAACTCTTCTTGTAGCTGATCTGACTCTTCTCACAGACAGCTTTTTTGAAAGACCGTCGGGGATTCGCGCGAATTGCTGTAAAGTTTTCGTCAATGACATTCATGATCCAAGCAAGCACCGCTTCAGCGATCCGTGCAATGGGAAACCGTATTGGAAATATATAACCAGCCGTTATTGAGTTGCAGCGGATGAAATTTTTTACCGCATCCACTCAGAGGTAAAAAAGCTTCATCATCTTCGCAGACGGAGTTCGCTGCCCTTAAGGTGGTGCTGGGAGACTTCGAACTAGAGGGGTACAGTGCACGGCTTCGATGGAAAGAGTAAGTCAATTCATCACTTTCAGCAGATTGTAAATCAAATTCTGGCTTTTGCCCTCCAGTTGTCGACTCGATTGGAAGCAAGCAGGTGAACGTTTCATCAGGCATCCACGAGCCCCAGAGACTGCCCGAAGCCAAACCTAGGAGTTTTTCCCGTCTGCTTAGCCCATTGAAAAAGGTCATCCGCTTTCCTTGCCCCGAAGGACTTCCAAAAGCTGAAACGAGTCTCCTTAACCCTTCAAAGTCGAGTAGTTCAGTGTATCGGTGCCTTAAACCAGTGTTCATCGGTCTTTTGGAACAAACAACTGCTGATCGATGGGGTTTATGTGCAACGGACCTGTTTATCGTCGAAACGCTGATTGCCCCATCCAGATTCGACGCGCTCGAGTCGAAGCAGCTGGCCAGCGAGCTGTCGTACCTGCGCATGCGCGAGGGCGTCGAATCCATCCGATACCGCGTCCAAGAGGTGCAAGCGTCGCTTGAGATCGTCGCCAATTCCGCCGGAATCAGCCTCAGCGGAGTCGACTTCTTCACCGGAAAGTCCGTCGAGCCGTCGCCCATCGCCAAGCCCCTCGACTTGCGGCCGACCGCGCTCAGCGCGGAAATGTTCGGCCTGCCGCCCGGGCAAGCGTTTCACCGCATGATCGCGGCCGCGCTCGCGACCACCGACGGCGCGGCGCGCCTCCTCGGCGGCGAGGGTTTGGACAACCTGGACTCTGCATCGAGCCACGAGGACTCGAAGAAGACGTTGCGCCGTATGAAGAGCGACGTCGGGTCCGGGCTCGTCTACGTTCCGGGCCCGATGAGCGGAATTCCGCCGGACACCGCGGTCGACATCACGAGAGTCCTCCGGCTTCTGCAGCTGAAACTAGAGCGGCTACTTGAGGTCGCGGGGCAGCTGGAGCACGTGCCCGTCGACCCAGGCCTGGGCGCGAGCGCGACGCGCGCGCTCGCGCGCAAGAAGGACGCGCGCGCTTCCGAGTTCCACCGGCTGATGGAAGCTCTAGAGTGGATCCCGCCCTCGGAGAGGCTGCCGGAGAAGCCTAAAGATCCTAAAGAGGCGATCGACAAGGCGGCCATGACGGCAGCCGTGTGCAACTACATAGCCGCTGGAAGTGAGTCGCAGCAACTTCTGCTCCGCAAGCGTTTCAGCATAATGCACTTGAATCGTCTTTGGACCATCTTACTTTTCAAAAACCTTCGCTTGGGAATCTAAACGATCCATCTTTTCATAAAGTAGCTTGCCAAACTCTTTGAAGAGCGCAAGCTCTCGTATAACTTTTGCTTACTGACACCTTGCCTAGCATTGGATGGCAAGGATTGCTTCGAGCAGAGCATGTCGCCGCAAAATCCTGCCGCGTTACAATCTTTGTTAACTTAAGCGCAGGCACAAGCGCGTGACGCTCTTGTTGTGTCTTTGTAAGTCCCGCACTCAATGTGATTTGAGATCCGAAGCAAACCGCAGATGCGTCCCTTCGTGCCACTTACCTTCCTTGGTTCTCGAATCGGTTATTCAAGCTCGATGAGCTCAGAGCCTTCTTGAAGCTACAAACCCTTCCTCAAACCCCGAAATCCTCGAACCCTTCCGCAGTCGCGGCCGCTGCCATCCTGCCTCTCCCGCGCGCGCAGCTCGAGAAGTTCGCCGCGCGCGTCTGCACCGAGTCGCAAGTGGACGGACCACTGCACTACCCGCCTTTCAACCACCGCCTCTACGAGGCCGCCTCCAAAAGTTTTAGCGGAAAACAGGCCGCCGAGAAGCCGGACGACTTCGGAAGCAGCGCATGGGCCGCGCGCGTTCTCCTCGAAGAGATGAGAGCGGACATCAAGCTGAGCCGGTCAATGGGAGACGGCCACGTGGAGACCGCGCGGCGTTCCGCTGGCAAAGCCTCGAAGGACCTGCGGAATTCCGGCGGGCTGAGTAGGAGCGGAAGCGGCGAGTACTCGGCAGCGGTGGCGCTCGCCGAAAGAGAGACGGCGGCCCGTTCCGCCGAGAGTTCGCTGAGCACGACCGGAACGGCTGCCGTTCCGGCCGCGATGGCGGAACCCAAGAGGCGGGCCAACCGGGGGGCGCCGGAAACAATCGAGGAGGGGGACGAAGAGGGAGCGGGAGCGGAAGATGCGCGCGCGGTTTGGCTCGCCGCCAAACGAAAGGTGCTTGTCTCCCCGGTGGTACTTTTGGTACCCGGTCCGGGGGGGCCGGTACCGCCGGTTCCCCAGAGCCCTTCTTCTGGGCCGCAAAACGGATTCCCCGGGCTTCGGCCTCAGTCTCCAAACAACGACAGAGTGTCGCAGGATGTGAACGCGGAGGGCGGGGAGACGTCTTCAAATTCGGAGCAGGAGGGGAACCCCCCGGAAGAAGAAGACACGTCGATTGTCGGGGCGAGGAGTGATCTCGTAGTTTTCAAGAAGCAAAACATTTTGCACCGCGCGCGACGACTGACACTCATCGAGGGCGACCTGGAAGAGGCGGAACGGAAGCGGAGAGCGGAGGAGCGGTACCGGAAAATGCTGCGATCTATACCGGGCCTGGAGGAACTAGATCGGGATGGCCTGAAGCTGGTCGGGGTAGCGGCCCCGGGCGCGGGGGGAGCGACCGGAAGAAAGTCAGAGGGTGAGCCATCGGAGGGGGAGGAGAAATCGTCAGAAAAGCCGCACGTGCGGTGGACGTAGCTGACGCCATGAAGCTGCAGATGGCGTCAAACCGCTCTGTTCTGAAGGCCGTCGCCTGAACACTAGTTGGTCAAGTCCCAATAAGCAGGAGACCGCATCGGGCCGCGGGCGATGGGAGCTCGTGTCAGCTGTTCCGGCCAAGGAACATCCTGCTGCAAACGGACTCTACAGCGAACGGCTGGGTCACTCGAGGTTCGAAATTGCTGGAAGAAGGGAGATGCGCTATCCCGGAGAGACGAGCCCTCGAAGTCGAATTCAATTCCTCCGGAGACGGTCAGCAGGTCGAGGGCTGAACGAAGGCGTTTTGATGGAGTTTGACGGGGACGTCGTGGGACATGTCTGACAGAGCGACCAGATGACCTTGAAAGCATCCACTCCCTCGCAAACGCCACGTGCTTCGCGATAAGCAGTCCAGTGTATGTTGCCGCGAGACACGTGACAGCACACGCCCTCCTAAGCGCATCTTATTGGAGGACAGAGACATAATGGGCATAAGGCTCGAAGGTTAGCAATACGCAGGCAGAAAACGTTCAAAGCTGCAAGTCCATGTGCTTAAGCGTCAACTTCGTAACGGGTCGATGAAGGCGTGGGTTACGACATCAAGCCAGCAAATAACGGTCCTTGAGAGGAGGAAGCTCAGAATACGAGTTGCAAAAGGGGACGAAGAAGTGACCGGCACATTGATTGAGCACGTGTCAACATTTGAAGCCCTTGACGAACGTCCGCGTCGAGGTACACAATCAAGAAGAGTTGCGAAGAAGTAACATGCGGAACTTTCGAGGCAGCCAGGATACGTTTGCTGCATGCTCTGATGCGTCCAACGACTCTCAGAAGGAGAGAGGTTTTCTGAAGGCCCGGCGTTGGGGCCAGAGAACATGCGGTGATCAGAGTTGGGACAATGCTTTCAAAACATGAGTCACAATTCCATTGTATCATGATGCACAACATAAACGGGATAGAAACTCAGAAAGGAGCGCGCTACTTAACATGTACCGTACGCGTGAACGACCAGACGTATCTTGCATATGATGCCCATTGAAGGGCCACGGTTAAGCTACAGATCGAAATTGTTTCAGTTGACGTCAATTTTGTCCGAAAGAACGGCTTTTTGCAAGCAGCTCGTTCGGTGGTATTCTTATCTAGCGTGCGGTGGCCAGAACCAACCTTCCAATGAGCTTATTTAGAGATCCGACATGGATATAATGGTCTAGACACCCAATCTAAAGAGCCCCTAAAGAGGTCAGCAATTGGACACTGGCATTTCCCATGGTCACCAGCTAGCCTGCAGCTAGGCTGAAGATTCGCTCAACTCTCCTATATTGGTACTGTCTATATTGAGGTCTGCTTCTGCAAGGATTGATGCTACAAGAAGCGAACCGTGCGCCGCCGCTGTTTCAAGTTTGATCAAACGATCGATAAATCGATGTGCCGCCGCTTTGGCCGCTTCTGTTTCCCAATGTAGCTCCGTCCGATAAAGACCCAATCCGGTATCGACGCCTCCTATAGATTACGCATTTTGCATTGCGCACCGGTCCGATGGACCTTTATTGACGGCATCGGAAAATTCAGAGAGCTGGTGGAACTTTCCTGGAGACCCGCTCTAGTTGCATTTCGCCCTTGCGCGAGCGATGAGTCAGCAGATATCCTCTGCGATGAAAGCTCACTGAGCTCCACTGCAGCCCTTCCGAAGCTCGTAGGATTGCTTGACTACTAGAGGAACCTTCTGCTTTGCTGAATCAGCTGGCTGCGCCAGCAGCTGGTCAGCTTGGTCTTGTGACTTGGACAGGAGAAGAAAGGCGGCTGCAAGTCTGGAAAAGAAAGAAGGGCTGCTTAGTACCTACAACAACTCTAGCCTTCCGTTCAAACTAGGTACCTAGAATGCTCTTTCTTGGAAAGTTGCACGTTGAGCAGGCACTGCTGTCATTGGCATCAGGCTGATCTTTTTTCGGCTGGAATTGACGGCTTTAATTGGGAGAGCGTTTTGCACCAGACTCTTTCTAAGTTCTTGAAGCTACTGGTTGGGCACCAGGATTGCAGCTTTCAAAACCTCGAAGATGGATCGCGCTCTGCTTCGCCAGAAGGTCTTGCTTGATCATCTGCGGCCTGCAGCTGGACAGGGGACCTCGATCACTGTAAGTCTGATGAATTTCTCTTTATTGGTTTGATAGGGGTTTGAAGCAGTTTGAACAGCGCGACACAGTCTTGCCCGTCAATTGAATCAGGTGTTTTTGAGGGGGATGATGTCACAGATTGCTGGTGGAAGCTACTCATCAGGATTTCAATTATGAATGAGTCTGGTGTGGTCTCGATATCATGCTTCCTAGCTTTCCTGCTTTCAAGGCTGCAGCAGCATGTTCTACTTGAGGCTTCAGATTTCCCTCTTGGCTTATTCTTAGCTGGTGCTTATCTTGCAACACCTGTTTTTTTGTAGGGCGAAGCCTGCGCAACAAGAGCTGGAGATTCTGGCGACGATGTCGTTGTTGTTGCGTAAGTTTTTTACCCTTGCTTTTATTCAGCAGGTCATGTCTTTCAGAAAGTTCAGGCAGAAGAGCGGCTGCAGATTGGAAACCAGAGGTCTTTTCAAGAATCTGTGTCATTTGTTGGAATTGGGAGGGTGGTATGTGTGAAGGCAACTTTCTTTTTGGCTTGGCTCATCTTGATTGCAGGTTCTGTCAGGATCTCATCAGATAGTTCAGCACCAGCTTTAGAGGTCTCGATTGGCAAATCCATGGTCACTCTGAGGTACTTGAACGCCAGGAGACTGTGCATTCAAAAGCTATGGCCAGTGAGACCAAGAATCATCGACCCTTCCTAATACGACAGATGATACGGAGCATCTGAACAGCTCATGAAAAGCGGCGTTTGAGACGACCAAAGCGGTGTCGCTGGCCTCACACTGCTAGCTCAGACCTCAAGAAAAACAATAGAGTTCGTATGATCCTCAGCTGGTGGAAGGCTTTGAGAAGAAACCCTAGAACCCTGGGAAAGATGTGACCAGCATGCTATGTGAATTGGCAACATGCTGCAAAAAACACGACTATAAGTACACTAGTTGCTAGTACATAATCCAGCTCATGTGCCAACATAATATAATTGTTTATTCCTCTTCTTGCCAGGGCTTACCGAACCCCAATGTGCAAAGCAAAGAGGGGCGGTCTGAAGGACACCCTGCCTGATGATATCCTGGCGCCTGTCTTGAAAGCTGTTGTGGAGAGGACTGGCGTCAACCCCAAGGACATTGGTGACATCGTCGTTGGCAGTGTTCTAGCCCCCGGGGCGCAGCGTGCCAATGAGTGCAGGATGGCAGCGTTCTTTGCTGGCTTTCCAGGTATGTATCAAACACTCATATAAGCTTGGCAGCATTGAATGTAGATTAGGCGTGAAGTGGCAAAAAGAACAGGAGGGATCGCAGTAGATGAAAAGGGTTCTACGCGTTTCACCAGCTTTCGAGCTGGTCAGTCCTCTAATTCATCTGCTTAAGTGGATTGAAGTTCTTTTTTGGCTATCCATAAAAATTCAGGTGTGCTTCAGCTGTTTAGCAACTGCAATTGATGATTATAAAGACACAGTAAATGCAAAGTAGCTCACGACACCGTCTATCTCTGCAGAGACGGTTCCCGTGAGGACTGTGAACAGACAATGTTCATCAGGACTTCAGGCAGTGGCTGATGTGGCAGCTGCAATCAAAGCCGGATTTTATGATATTGGTAAGCAGCACACACCGCCAGGTTTTCCTGATTGGTTTGTCTCTCAGGAGGTGGATCTTCTCGGGTCTCCAGCAATTTGAGGACAGGAAATCTTTTCTCTTAGGATGCTCGATCTCCGGAGACTATCCTACTCATTTTCGGAACCCAATTATTCTCGCTCTGATGCGGCTATTGTGGTCTTTCTTTTGCGGACGTGAACATATCTTGATGTATGAACTTACGTGCTCGCATATACTTGCAGGCATTGGCGCCGGAATCGAGGCCATGTCTGTGAACCCCATGGCATGGGAGGGGAGTGTAAACCCGCAGGTGAGGATTAGTGAGTTTCTAGACGGTTCAGCTCAACTTGGATGCTTTAAAAAAACGTCGACGCGGCTAATTGGTTCACAGCTCGTTCGTCCTCGGTGTCTTGCCAGGCCCCCATTTCCGTGAGTGAGATCTTTTTGCCTCCACCTTTTTCCATTCCAAGGGGTGATCTTGCCTCGTTCAAATCCTGAAGGGGGATGGTCCATCGCTTTGCAGGTGGAGCAGAACCTGAAGGCTAGAGACTGTCTCCTGCCTATGGGTGTGACTTCTGAAAACGTGGCTGAGCGGTACGGCATCACCAGAGCAGACCAAGACCAGATGGCCGTGAGTGTCGCTTCCTAGTCGTTTTCGAACGCCCTCGGACGCTTCACTCGAGAGCCGAGGTTGACAGCCCAAGTCACCTTGCAATAGTCAGCTTTTGAAGGTTTCCGATTCGATGGTTGTCTCCGTGTTTGGAAGCAAGTTCATCTTCTTCAGGCGGAGAAGCAAGGCCGTCGTGGCATCTATGTGACATCGAGATTCCACTTGTACGACAGGTCGTGGTTGAGCTTGGTTCTTCGGTGTTGGTTAAAGCCCATTTCATACGAAGTCGCTCACCCCTACTTTTTTGTTCTTGTTCCAGGCTCGTTCTCATGCTCGCGCGGTGGCAGCTTGGAAGTCCGGCAGATTTGTGGACGAGGTTATTCCGGTGGCGACGAAGGTAGGAAGCGCAGAAGTTCTGATCTCGTTGTCACTCGTTCTGAGATTCTGAAGCGTTCTACTGGACGTAGTCTGCTTTCATGCAAGCTCGTCCGCTTCACTGTGTGTTGCGTGCCCTTTTGTACACAAGAGGCACTGTCCATGCTCGATTTACGGCTCAAGTGGAAGTTGCGTACTTGTAGAACAGGGTTTCTTCGTTCTGTGGTCAACCGTGCTCTGTGGTCAACCGTCAACAGTGGTCAACCGTCAACAGTCTGTCCATCTGCTCAAACCTTCATTCGACAAACTTTTCTCCTGTCGAGAGCCACCTCTTTTCGTCTTCGTCGTGAGGCGTGCGCTACTCGATTCGATCTGGAGAAGCCGTTTTATGGATCACTGTTGACATCTCGCAAACGTCCACTCACTTACGCTCCATTTTCCATTCTTAGATCGGTGAAGAAACTAAGCTTCGGAATCAGTTGAGTCATCGGAATCCAATTCGAAGGGCATTTCTGCAAAACCTGCAGATCGTCGACCCGAAGACCGGTGACGAGAAGCCCGTCACCATCTCACGGGACGACGGCATGCGGGAGGGCGTCACCCCCGCCAGTCTGGCCAAGCTGAAGGCCGTGTTCAAAAAGGACGGATCCACAACCGCCGGCAACTCGAGCCAGATCACCGACGGCGCGGCGGCAGTTCTGCTGATGAAGCGGTCGGAGGCGCACCGCAGAGGATTGCCGATCCTGGGGACGTTCAGGTGAGCGGAACTGGTGAAATGGGGGAGAGACCTGTTTCGGAGCTCCTTTGAATTAATGAAGTTGCTTGGGTTGGCTATTGGCGTGGTTGCTCAAAGCAACGGATTATGGGATCCCGGCAATCTGTCTTGTATCGGTCCTGGTTTCAATCGAGTATCCGACCGTCCAGTCAATGTCGAGATTTTGCCTTCCTTGAGTGGCGCTAAGTCAGCATGCTTGCTTGCCTGGCTCTTTCAGCCCAAGTTCCTGACGTCGAGCCCTTTTGTGCTTTCCAGCCTTTAGACTTTCGCGAGTCTGTGAACATCAGGGTCGATCAATCCTTCTTGTCAACCTTCCTACTCTGGAGACGAACCTCTGCTTTCTGCTTGGCAGGACTTTCGCCGCTGTCGGAGTTGACCCTGCTGTGATGGGTGTCGGTCCCGCCGTCGCTATCCCTGCCGCTGTCGAAGCCGCGGGCCTCGAGATCCGCGACATTGACCTGTTTGAGCTGAACGAGGTGAGAGCAATTACGAGTATTTTGGTGGATCTACATCGTCGTCCCTTCCTTAACTTACGAGCCGTGCAAGCTCCTATAAATAAAAGCTTGCAGTGCGTTCATTGCTTTGGTCATACGTTGTTACGTTGAGTACTGGTGCCTTGGTAATGCCGTTGTCGTGCACACGCGAGTTGTGAAATTGCGGTCGGTCGTGCATCCGAGAACGCTTAACTAAAAGCTGGCGGTGATGGATTCTGCAGTGGCTCTCCGGCCATGATTAGCCAGGTGATCCTGATGCTAGCCCAATTGTGTTTTGAAGATGGCATTGAAGCGATCTGGACTGTATTAAGCCAGGGAACTTGTAGTAGCAATTTCGCAGCTCTCAAGGCGGTACAACGTTCACTTTGGCCAGTTTCGATAGGGTCCGCTTTCTCTGTGCTTTGAGCCCTTTGTCGTGCGCGTCTGGTATTTGGCGGGCCAGAGTCCTATTACTTTGGGCCCGCGAGTGGCATCACGTTCGATTCAAACGAACAACTTTGGACCCTTACTGCGACATACTTGTGGGCCGAGGTTTCAGCGGCAAGCGGTTTGCTTTGCGGCGCTCTGTGTTCTTGTTCTCTAGGCGGGAAATGGTGAATCAAAGGCGTTCTTGCGGTTTTGCAGGCCTTCGCTAGCCAAGCCACGTACTGCTGCCGCAAGCTCCACTTGGACGAGGAGAAGGTAAACGTGAACGGAGGAGCCATTGCTCTCGGTCACCCTCTGGGCTGCACTGGCGCCCGCTGCGTCGCGACCCTTTTGCACGAGATGAAGAAGAGAGGCAAGGGCTGCCGTTACGGAGTGGTGTCCATGTGCATCGGATCCGGAATGGGGGCTGCTGCGGTGTTTGAGCAGAGCGATTAAACGAAGATTGGCCTTCGAGTCTGCAATGCATAGCTGAGGTGTACCAAAGGGTTTGTTATAGATAGATAGCACACTTGCGCTGACGATTCACGTGACGACGAGGTGCATGTACTACAACGATTGGAGAGGAAATGTCGACAAACTCTCTCCCCAAGTAACGACTAGATTGTAGGAAGTTGAAATTACGAGCATAGGTAGAGATTGTTCGATTCTCGAGCCTGTTTTATGTTAATCATTCGAAAGGCTTATTCGCGTTTCGAAAGGCTTATTCGCATTTCATTGCCAGCCGCGGTCCGTTATCCAGCCTGTTATGTCTAGTCGAAGGAATGTTTGGTTTGGCGCTCTTGACCATCCAAAGGCCGATCTTCATGTCGATATCATGCAACTGCAATGAATTTCCCAATGATTTCCCAATTATATTCCAGATGGCCGGGTTTGTATTGTACGTTGACGGACACTGACTTGCCTTTAATCGCCATATTAGCGCGCGCACGTACTGTAGTCTGCGTCCAGCTTTCTTTTTCTTGCTTAACGCGCGCGATCTAGGTGGTTCGAATGACGCCCGCTAGTATCTGGCAGCACATTCCGGCATACAGCCCACCATTATACTCGTTCAAGTGCTGTGTATCATCTTCTTTGGCATATATCTCACTTGGCCCGGCGCCCGGGGTGTCCTTGCGCGCCCCCCCACAATCACACTAATGCGCGCGCCGAGGCGATATCGAGGTAACACTGTGCATGTGGCTTGGCAAGGTAGAAATCAGCTTAAAACTTACAACTCGGGTTCTCAGTATATTGTAACAGCCGGCTTTGGGCAGTACATGTGCACATCTGAAGGCCGGTTGGCACATGTGTCTGAGTCCGACGAGCTAGCATGACTACAAGCCGACAAGGCTCGTGCGCGAAGTATGATCGCGGCATGGCCGCTCAGTCATGTTGACAAACCTACGGCCCGTCCTTTCTGCGTGCTGTACTCACTTTCTATCAAGTCCTTTGCACCATCGGTCACTAAGACCTTGCTCATAACCAGTTACTCAACCGACCGTCTCTTACAATGTGATTTACACTACTGTACAAACCGGTCTCCAAGTTTACTACCAGCACGGCAACTCCACCCCGTTTCGTTCGAGCTCAGCTCTACCGTGCCTTGTGTGCGGCACGGACGCCGTCGAATCTGGATACGAGTTGCGCAAGGGAAGGGCGTTTCGACGGGTCTTGCACCAGTGCGAACCGGAGAAAATCCAGGATCGCCGGATCGTTGCCGAGCTTCGCAGCCTTCTCTGACGAGATGAGCTCCTGCAAAGGTCAATGTCGTTTTGATGAAGCGGACATAGGAGCGGCTAAGTCTTCAGCAGATCTGCTCGTGAGCAAGTCCTGCACGTATTGAATAGCGGCTAAGAGCGCAAAGGATTGCACGCGAGCAACGTTCAAAAGAAACAAAAGTGGATGATGCCCAAAGACTGGGCTATTTTTAGATCGAGGATGAACCGGACGAAAGAAGGAGAAGGCGGAGGGGAAAGATAACCCACCTGGTTAGCGGACGTAACCCGGATGAAGAAGCGCACCCAGTCCTCGTCGTAGAAGAGGAAATCGCCCACGAGCAACTCGTACAGCAAGCAGCCCAGCGACCACACGTCGCTCTCTTTGCCGGCACCCAACTGCAGAGACAAATAAGCAAAACCGTCAGTAGTTGGTTTCAGATTAGTTCGATCCAAAAGGTGCCCGTCAGTTATGTGGGTGGTTAGGTTGACGAGACGTCACCTCTGTCGTACAGCAAACAGCCCAGCGACCACACGTCGCTCTCTCTGCCCGCGCCCAGCTGTGACAACATGCAAAAACCGGGTTAGCTTCAATAACCGCTTTGGTTCTCATTGAAACCAGCTTTCAAAGCGTGGCGATGAGAGGCGAGATGTCGCTTTCTTTGCCGGCGGCCAGCTGTAGAAACAGGTAAGCAAGACCGTCAGTAGTTGGATCCGGTTTTGATCGATCCCAAACGTGCCCATTGGTTACGTCCGTGGTTACGTTCACGAGGCGTCAACTTAGAAGGCAGCCCAGCGACTACACGTCGCTCTCTTTGCCCGCGCCCAGCTGCGGAGACAGGGAGAAAACGGGGTTAACATCGATAACGACTTGCGTTAATCCTTGAAAACCAGATCATAAACACAAGAACATCAAATCAGATCTTCCTCGGAGTGTACAAAATGTTCAAGACCTGGTAGTGATGTTTTATCTCTTCTCTCCCCCTGTAAATGTTGTGGCTCCAAGCTTCTTACACACTCCTCGTCGATCTCGAAATCTCTTTCTCGCACTTTCATAACGGCTTTCACCGCATCAATCCTGGATCTAGCACATCGACACTCGCCTCCTTCTCCATCGCTTTACCGCGTATGCCAGTCAGCAGCCTCCTCCATGACGAGTTGCTTACGGCCAGATGACTTTGATAAAAAGAAACAAAAAAAAAGAAAGAAAAAAAAGAAAGAGAAAAGACACTCACTTTCTTCGGTCCCCCCGCTTCGGAGGCCCGCGCCGCGTGGAACACCGTGAGCATCTCAGGACTCTTCACAAACTCCGTGCCACGATTGCGGACGGTGACGCCCCCGCTGACGTCAGACTGACGGCAGATCTTGCTCTGCCCAAAGTCCGCCAGAACGACTCGGAAGGGCAGGGCGTAACCCCGCGGCTTAACCCCGTCGCTAACCGGGATTGCTGGGTGACTCAAAGGGAGGATTTCTGAAACTGGATTCAGCACCTGACTTTGGACTGCCGTTTGAAGGGCCCGGTTGGACGGTTTAGAAGAGAGCCTTCGGAGGAACTTATGTACAGATCGGGATCGGGGGGCCGGTTCTAAAACGGGTGCCTTGGAGGGGTTTCCCTGCTTGGACTGAACCGGGTTCATTTCTAATTCGCGGTTCTCTGCTGTCTGTACGGCTGAGGACGGATCAGTCGCGAAATCAACGGCTGTAGCCTCAATGAGTGAAGAATCGACGGCTGAGCTGCCGCAACTTAGGGGGGGGCCCCAGAATCGCTCTTCCGAGACCCCCGGCAACGGCTCCAGCAGAACGTTGTCGCACTTGAGGTCGAAGTGGATGATCCCTTTCTCCGCCACGTTACTCGCCGCCTCTAGAACCGCCGCGAAAACCTCTAAGTAGAGCCCCAGCTCCTGCCGCCCGTGGGAACCTCTAAACGGTTCCGCCGAACCGCTAGAGGTTCCTTGGCCGGCGGCACCGCTAGAGGGTTCCGCTGAACCTCTAGAGGATTTTGCGGCGGGCCTGAATTCACGCCTGAGGCGCCATTCCTTTAGGCTACACGGGTAGTGCTTCAGGACGAGGTAGTAGCAGTTCTCGTCGACGCCGTAGTCGTACAGCTGGCAGGCGGAGGGATCCCCCTTCAGCTTCTCGAGGATGGCGACCTGGGAAGTGGCGAGAGAGCAAGTGGGTCGCCTTGCAGGAAACGGATTGAGGTTTCAAGGTGGATGAGATTAAAAGCAGTCGGGAAACAGGACAGAGAAGTCTATTTCAGGGCTTTGTGCTGGAATCCACGCTTTGAACCTTCCTTCCAAGGGGAAGAAAGAGCAGGCAGAATATGCAGGCAGAGCTGACTTTAGGACTGTATGAGATTCCCCAGGGAGCCGCCACGAAATCTCCCCTCATTCGGTTTCCGCTTCACTACGGGCCCCAGAATGTCTCTACCATTTTCCAATTCAGTCACTTCAACTGTCACATTTGCCAGCTTAAGGTATCAAATCCGCAGCTCCAACAAGCAAAGACCCTCGGTCAGCGGCCGCAAAACGAACTTGTCCCCTTATTGAACCCACCAAAGTCGCCAGAAGAGCTTCGGACCCCTTGCAAGAAAGGGAGTCTAAATAAGCTCACCTCGGAGTAGAGGTCGTGGAAGACGCACGGGTCGTGAACACTCCCCGGCACGTTAACCATCTTCAGCGCAACCCATACAGGCTCCTCTAACCCGTTTTCTAAAGCCGGGTTAAGCTCCCCAGACGCCCGCCCTGCCCCATAACCCGGCGTCCTCCGTATATAAGCCGGCGCCCGGCAGCGCACCACGTGCGCCGACGCCCCTTCCGCGATCCGCTGCCGGCCCTCGGTGGGAAACGCCCCCGGTGTGAAAAGGCGCTGGCACGTGAGGCGCAGGATGCGCTCGGCGGGCGCGCCCAGGGCACGCGCGCGCGCGCACAGGGTTTGGAGGGCTTGCGCGTTCGCCGGGTGGTTCAGGTGGTGGAAGAGGAAGAAGGGGGCGTTGAGGCGGCGGTTGGCAGTCGGCAGGTTGTCGGAGTACAGCGGTTCGAGGTCGCCCCTGAATTAAGCGATTTAAGCGATGAGTTGGTCAGTTCTGGAGTGTGGTCTGTGTCCTTCTGTCGCTCTTGTGCGCTGACCCAAAAGAGGCCATCAGATGGGTCTTCGTTTGTCCGGCAATCCGTTCTTTCTTCTAATCGTTGATATTGGTTCGAAGTTATAGGCGAAATTGTTTGCGTGATTATTTCTGTAGGGGCACTAGAGGGAGCAATTTGATCCTGTCATTCACAGCTTGTCTGTTACTCAAAGCTCATCTGTGAGATGCGAGAAGTCAAACGCATACTCCGTTAGAAACTCTGAGCGTCAAAACGTTGAGACAATCCCAGATGCACTACATCATCCGCAGCGCAGCCTCCGCTTGAAACAGACACGTGGACCTTTCACCAATTCGCGCGCGCACTCACTCCGCTGACGTCATCATGCACAGTATCAGCTCCAGGACCGCCACGTGGAGCCCCTCCTCGCGGTACAGCATCCGCCCCGCGCGCCGCGCCTCGTAGTGCGCGGCAATCCTTTTCGCCTCGCGGACCGACCGCCCATCTCCCGAGCCGCGTTCTTCCGGCCTCTCTCCTGCTGACACGTGTCCGTCCCGCGTTGGCAGGGACAGCTTCGGCACCTTGTCGATGGGCCCTGATAAACCTTTTAGAGAGGTCGGCTTAACTTCAGACTGGACGGGACCGAATCCGCTTTCGGAACGGCCGCCAATTTCAGAAACAGGGGCGCCGTTTAGAGGCGGGTTAGCGACCTCGGTCACGGGTTTGGTTACGCTGACCCAACCGCCCGCTGGCGCGGCGTGGTGCGGGTCCTTGTGTGTCTGGTCCTTCCGCGCCGCGAGCGGGAGCTTCAAGCGGGGGACGGGCCGCGCGTTGAGGGTTTTCACACCAACCGGATCTTCCTCCTTTCCCAACCCCAGAGCCTTTACGCCCTCCACAGCCCCCAAGTTTTCAATCCTGACAGGTTTTACACCGGCCTCAGTTCCCAGCTTTCCTAACCCAAAAGTCCGACCCTCTTCGCCCGCAAAGGCAGAGGCGTTCAAAGCCCCGGCTAACGCTTCCCGCTCCACTCGCGCCATGAACGGCTCGGATCGTTTCGCGGGCGCCGATGCGACGGCCGTCATTTGCGCGCCGCCCAATCCGACGGCTGCGATCCGCGCGCTGCCCATCGAACGGCTCTCCCACGAGCTCTCCTTGTCGTCGTCGTCCCACACGTTGCTGCAGCTGCTCTCGAGGCTCATCGTGGACCGAATCTTGTCCCCAATGACGTCATGCGCGACGTCGTTCTCGAGCCGGACGACGTCACTGTGGCGCAGAGGCACGACGGCCAGCGGGGGATCTCCCTCGGGCTCTGAGTCCGAACAGGTTCCGTCGGACGCGTCGGAATCGCTCGAGGGGTCCGATACGCCCATCTGGCGCTCCACCTCGTCGTTCAGATCGTGCCACGTGTCCTTTCGAGAGCTCACCGATCCCGCGCCCGGCTTACGAGCGGACAGCGGTGTTAATACGGCTTCTTGCGAAGGAAGCGAAACCCTGGCCGTCAGACTTCTCGGCAACGGCTCCCTCCGGCTGCGAGCCCCTCGAGCAGATATGGCTTTTCCGGTCGCGAGAACGGACTCCGCTGAGTTCCGCTCTGGGATAGCCGGAACCGGGCTCAGGAGGTGCTTCCGGCTTGGGTCCTTGGCGTACAGCCGGCTGCTCCACGCGCTCATCTGCACCCCCCCCGAATCGCCCGGGCTGAGAACCCCCCGGATAGGAGACTTCGCACCGCCCCCGTCGCCATTTGCCGGCAGCTTTGAAAGGGCCAGCTTTGGCAGTTTTACGCCCGCTCTCGTTCCCGAGCCGCCGCCGTTTTCTCCCACCGCTCTAGTGCCGTCCACAGCGACGTTCTCCTTGTCGCCGAGGGAACCCCTCCGGGAACTAGAGGCGCGAGCTTTTCCGGGGCTCGCGAGGCGGGCCGACTTGCCAGCTGTCGCCTTGATGGGACTCAACGGCTTGACACCTGTCGTTGGAGACTGAAGCGTGCCGAGACGGAGTCGCGGCACCACTGGTGTAACGTTTCCCCCGGACGCCCTAGCATCCGTTACGCTCCTGGCGGAATACTTCGCTATATCCACCCTCTCTTCCTTTCTTTGGTCGCCCCCTTTTTCGCTCTCCAAGTCGTGCTTGAGTTTCTCTGCCAATCCCTCTTCTCCCCCCTCCTCCAAGACTGCACCCGCTTTCGGTTTGTCCAACGAGATGTTCAATTCCCCGTTTTGTCCCCTGCTTGCCAGACCGTCGCCCAATTTCAGGCTAATCGCGCTTCTTTTCAGCCCTGAAAGGGGCGACGGCAGGGCGACCAGAGTCGACTCGTGCTCCAGGCCAATCTGCTCCACCAACCGACCCATCACGCCGAGCTGATACAGCTTCGAAACAGCGCCCGGTAATTTTCCCCGGGCAATAGCCGTCACCACCCGCAAGTGCAGCGCGCAAAGCTCCGCTGACGTCATCTGGCACCGGGAAGCCAGCCCGGGTGGACTGGGACACGTGGCAGCGTCCGATTGGGGTGACGTCAGCAGTCGCAGAGCGGCGGCCACGTGGTGCTCCAGGAAGGCGTCGGTGAAAAGAGGAACGTGGAAGGGGTTGGGGGGGCCATTTATTAAAACCGGGCTGCCTTCCGCCGGAACTAAAAAGCCCCGAGCGGCTTGTTCTGGATCATCGGCTTTAGAAACGGCCCCCAAGCTGAAGGCAAACTCCACCAACAAGAGAACCTCTTTCTGCAAAACGTCGTTCGCATCCCGTCGCAGGATTCTGAGGGCGGCTCCTCCTTCGGGATCCAACCAGGGCAGTAACACCGCCCATATCCACCCTCCTCTGCCGCCCTGAGTTTCCTCCACCGATTGCTCTAGAAACCGCCGGACGCTCCCGACGATGTCCGCAGCCTTTTGCACCGTGTCTGGATCTCCTCTGCTCCGTTCCGCTTCAGTCTCAGTTCCGTTCCTCGTTCCGGTCAGGCAGTCCACGGCAAACGGCACCAGGCAAGCAACCGAGCGTGGTTGCTTGGAGGTTCCAGGGAATCCTTTCCCGGCCACTTTGGCTGGTGCATCGCCCCCTGACGAAGCACCCAGCTCTCCACCCCCGCCAAGATTGGCCCCTCCGAGAGCCTCGAGCAGAAACCCAGACAGCACATCGGCGCCGTTCCGCTCTTCCGCAGTTCCGCTTTCCGACGCGCCTCCCGCACTCGATACGGTGGCTGTTTCTTCCCCTCTTAACTCTCCAGAGCCCTCTTCGTTCAACTCGGCTTTTCCAGTATCCGAAGCTTTTTCCCTACTCGTCACAGTGGGTGACTTTTCCCCTTCCAACCCACCAGAGCTCTTTTCGGTAAGCGCAGCTAGCTCTACCGGGCACTCTGCCCTGCTCCTGAGCGGCTCACACGCGGCCGGGGCTTCTAACCGGGGCCGCTTAGGGATCAAACCCATGACGGCGGCGAGAAGGTCGACGTACGGGATCACGAGCTGCGACGCCAGCGGGAATGCAAATGCGCAATCTGGCACTTCAGAAGACGCAGCCGCAATTTCCATTTCAGCTCCGCTTGTTGGGCGATCCGATTGTTTGGAGAAGAACTCTGGAGCAGCCTTCACACGGTCGGAGGACGTCGTCAAACGGTCCAGAGCGACCGCCGGACGGTCCGATGGTGTCACCGGACGGTCTGGAATGATCGCCGGACGGTCTGCAGCGACATTCGGACGCTCCGTGCTGCCCGGCGCGTTTACAATTTCCGCCAGGAAGCGACCCCCCGCGAGTAGACTCTCTCCACAACGCCCCACTATCTCAACTGCTAATCTGTGGCCACCGGACCCATGTAACAGCTCCCGGAGAACTCGGAAAAGGGCCCTCAGCTCTTTTCCGCCCCGCGCAACCTCAATAGCTTCCCTCGTCTCCTCCTTGCAAACCTGCCCCCGACTAGCGTCCCCGTTCTCGGATCTTTCCGCTTTCACTTCAGCCGTTTCCTTGCTAGATTCCGTCTGCTTTTCCGCCCCTGCCCGGCTTTTCCCACTGCTCCTTTCGGGCAGCTTCCCCAGACCGTCTGCCTCAAGTGTGAACAGCCCCAAGCCGGCTGCTAAGCGCCCGTTCATCTCTTTCCAAAGAGCCTCAGAAGCGGCCGCCCCGAGCTCGTCTAGCCGCTTCACGATTTTCATCGTCGAATCGGTGCAGACAATAACGTCCTGTGCCGCGCTTCGATGCGTTCCTTCAATCTGTTCGCTTCGCTCCCGCCGCGCTCCGGCCGCCTCTCCGCGGCTCCCCTCTTCCGCTGCGAGAACGGAACCAACCATTCCGTCCACTAACGCCCGCATCCAGCCCGCCACCGCCCCCTCCTCCAGCGCCAACCGCGGCGTGCCACGTGTCAGCAAACACAGCAACGCGCTCAGGACCTTGTTTCTCAAGCTTTCCCGTTCGACGCTTTTGCTTCCGACCGTCCGAAATTCCGCACCGTTTCCGTTGACGTCCGAACGCCGGGCTTCATCCCGATGGCCGCCAGTTTGGCCCCCCGACCGCAGATTTCTGCCCAGCTTTCCCGCTCTGTTTGGCCCGGTACGATTCACCGAGCCAGGCAATAGGGAGCCGTCGGGGCCCTCTCTCGGACGGTCGGACGTGACGTGAATGCCGGACGGTCCGAAAGCGCCCGCGGAGAGCTGTCCGTACAGACCAAAAAGGGCGGGCACGGCTCCGGCTTGGATGAGAGGCCTTGTTGTCCACGGAGACGCGCGCTGGAGGGCGCAGAGGAAGCTGACGACGCGGCGGACGGGGCCCGAGAGCTCTGCAGAGAGTCGAGAACCGTGTCAGTACAACAGAAAAGCATGTTTTTCCACACTAAAAAGTACCTTCTTGTCAACAATTCAGATTGCATTTGGGTTAAGATGCAGCCTTTATTTCTCCGTTAGAATTCCATTTGTTCCAGATACAAGGCCTACAATCGGCGCAGAAGGTGGAGAATATTGGAAGAGGCGTTGGATATGGATGCTGGAGCCGTTATCCGAAACTACTTGGAAGCAAATACGGTCACGGAGTTTCATTTTTCCAGCTCGTCAGCATGAGGCCCTTCAAGAACTGCGTTCACCATGTTTTCGAACCCCAGAGCGCTTTTACTAACTCCCCAAGAGTCAGCGCAAATGGCCCATGGGTCGATCTGGCGAGATCACCTCCCTTTGAAGGCCTGTACAGTCGCCACAAAGCAAGCTTGCCACGCCAACGCGTTCCTTACCTTCTTGACCCGTGCGCGACGTCAGCATCGACGTCAGCTCTTCGAGTTTGGACGCGACGAGCCGTCCGAGGAGGCGGGTCGCCTTGCCTGCGGACGCTTCCACGAGCCAGCAGCAACGAGCCGCCACGTACTCGACCAAACGCGCCTCGTCCTCCTGGCATACGAAATGCGAGGGGCATAAGATATGAGGTGGAGCACTCAAGTATCTCGTATGATTGATGATGTTGGGAGAAGGCTGTCCCTACTTGTGCTTCTGATATGATGACGAGTAACCGTTCCATTCTCAAACAACGCAGAAGAAAAGCTCTTCAATCGTGAGGATTTGAGAGTGCGCGGTCTTCCAGGTCGCCCAGAGATTTGTATCGAGCATTGAACCTGTTGCAGCATCTGAGAGAGTTCGGTAACTTTGATTCGGACCCCTACGCCAATGTAATGGGTCCCTATTGCGTAGCTCAACGGGCTCTGACAATCCTAGGAAGCCGTCGCTCTTGCCCTCCCAGGTTCTTTACCAGGAAAAGAAAGGCCTGCTATCAATCTTGACAAGAAACTTAAGCAAGTGGGCAGTTTGAGGCAGAGGAATGAAACCAATGAACGCTCACTTCATCCACGACCACTGCTGTCCGTGCAGTCTCCGCCCCGCTCCGTCGCTCTCCTCTCACCCCCCCTTCCCTTCGACTCCTGGCAGACCTTGAGTCCACCCCCCCGCCACCCGTGACTTCCGCCAAAAGAGCCCGCTCCTGGCACAGCCTCTGAAATAGCTCCCCGTCAAACACCGCCCCCGCTAGCGCCGCCAAAACCCCTTGATCCACCCATGCTGCGCGCTTCAGCAGACTGACCGACACCCGCTCCCGCATTGCCGCATTGAGCGCGCGCGCCGCCGCCCCTTTTCGATCCGCGCGCGTCCGGAATTGCTTTGCGCTCCGTTCCGAGCTCGCAACCGGTGGCGCCATTGGACGTTCCGAGCTGATCCCAGAGCTCGACTTCTTCCCGGCTGAGCTTCCTTCCGAATGTTCTGCCCCCACCGGCTCTTGAAATTCTGAGGCTTCCGAAACTTCCCCTTCCCGCTTTTCGCCCGCTGTTATTCCTCTCACCGCACCCCCGTTCGAGCAGAATCCCCCAGGCTCCCGACCTTCCGCTGCTCTCCTCTTGTTTCGCACGCTTCCGCCATCCCCCTCACTATTCAGGGGACCCGTCACCCCCCCCAGCAGTGCCTCGTCCTCTCTCACCGCCTCCAGCATGGTGATAATTCCCCGTGCCTTGAGGGCAGGAATGTGGCTAGCGAGCTGCGACAGCGCGCAGCGCTCTTTTGGGGTGGAGGCGCATGCGACTCTCAGCGCCGCCAGGGACTCAATTGCCAGGGAGCTCGCTACCCCAGATCCAGAATTTCTGCCAGCTTTCGCCTGGTCCTGACTCTGGTTCTGACCGACCTGGTCCGTAACCTGGTTCTTATCCGGAGGTCGCCGGTCACGCCCTCCCCCAACCGGCAAGGACCCCGGAACCAGATTTGAATCCCGGCCAGCCTTTTGTCTTTTCCGCTCACCATCTGCCAACACCTTCCCTTCTTTCCAGTCGATCTGAACCTCTTGGCCACCCCTGCCAACTGGAAGGGTGTGAATGCACTCCCCGTCAAACACGACACCCTCCCAAGCGCCGTCCCCCAAATCCAGGTGGCCCGCATCAGTCTCCAAAAAAGCTGGGTTGAGAACCAGGTTAGCGAGAACCCCATGCAGCTGGTCCACAAACCCCCCTGGCGTCAAAGCGGTTCGTAATCGCTCGTATGCTTCTTCCCCACACACTCCCACGCGCCTTTTGCGCGTAAGGTCAGCTCCCTTGGAACTAGAATGCCCGCCAATCGTACGGAGCTCGCCGCTCTTGTCCGGGCTTGGAAAGCCATGACTCGACGCGGCCTCTGTTGTGCTATGATTGCTTCCGATCACCCCTGTGTCATGTTCCTCCAAAACCCTGGCCTTGATGCCGCTGAAGACTGGTCTATGGTACACCTCATCAGACCGCAGTCTGTACGAGACCCAGACCTGCCCTTCTTCAGATGCACTGCTTCCCACTTCTATTGCGGAATCGTCCGCAGCTCGTCCGGATTCGTCCGAGGCAGGTCCAACTTTGTAGCCTGGCTCAATGGCCACCTTGGAGGACCTCCTGCGCCACTTCCAACTCCAGGCAGTCTGCAGCAAAACGATGAGAGTCAGGTGGAAAGAAAGACAAGGCTATTGCCGGAAGACGAAAGAAAGGTCTCGAGTTTGTCTTGTTCCTTCTAGCATTTTTCCAAGCCACCAAGGGCCACAAAACATGCGGTCGAAGTGGGCGAGCATTTCCAGGTATGCAGAAGCGATGCATTGCATTTCAGCTGAGACACTTGCCCTTAAACTGGTAGAATCGTGCTCGAATTTCAAGTGAGAGTGAGGTTGAGCTGAATGAGGTCATCAAGTACAACGAGACTGCCAATCCTCAGTCAAAAGGCCCCTCCTAAAGGAACAATCATTAGGTCAGCTAATAATACCAGCAGGGCCGAGCTCAAAATCACGGACTAGAACAAGCTTGTTGCGCTTCGCAATAAGTGTCTATCAAGCTCGCACCGGCTAGCTCAGCCCTTGACTTCAGCCAGATTAGGGTTACGGTTCACGTACCTCCTTTTGCCTGGTTCTTCGTGCATGCTTCTGAGCATTGCCCTGCACCCAGAGAATGCAGCACGCAGGGCCCCTTTCCCGGACAAGCCTGGTCAGCTCCTCTCGGCTGCCTACCAGCAGCTTGTGCTCAAATGCTGCCTCAGCAGCATCACTACCATCCTCCCTAAGCAGTGCATGCTTGATTTCTTCTTGCTCAACCTTGGAGCCTGCATGCCCATTTCTGCTTTCCTGGCCAGATAGCTCCACCAAGGGAGATTGTGATGAAGATGACAAAGGTTCGTCGAAGGCCTGATCGGAATGGGAGGCTAATTGACTGCTCCCACAGCAGAGGGAGGACCAGAAAGTAAGACGGGGCTTCTCAGAAAGGCAGACAAGAGCGCCTTCCATGGTTTACAGTGAGTGTACTATAATCTCTGGCACTAGCATGTCATCAATTGATCTTTCATTTGGCGGCAAAGGCCACGGAAGGTGCATCGCGCTGCAAAGCATTGGACTTGCCCAGAGTCCCTTTCTTAACCAAGCCGGTACCAACATCAAAGTAGGTATGAGTTTCTGCATCGATGAGGTGAAGGAAAATCCGGAGAGTGAAGGTTCTTGGTCTGCTCCAGGGGTTCTAGCAGGATTTT